TTGTTAAAAAAAAAAAAAAAAAAAAAGGTCTTCCTCTTATTTATCGAATAAAATCACAAAGTTAGGCCTCACCTTCATAGTCTTAACTATTATATAATTTCCTATGAAAAGCCTCAACTATGATGGCTTCAACCATAATTTTAAAATTTGGATCACTATTAAATTAATAAAGATACTAAGTTAATAGATTAAAGGACAAATTATTAAGTCACAAATTAAATTATAAGACTCGATCTTTATTAATTTTTTAAAAAATATTCATGTTATATATATTTTATATTTATAAATTTAATAAAATTTATACTATGTTTTAAAGGAGTCTAAAAAGAATTATAATCAATATAATACTCATAAAAAAATTAAATTATAGATCGAATTAACCAAATAAATTGATACATAATTTAATATTAAAATATATTATATAAATTATTTAAGTTAAATATATAATAATAGAGCATCTTGATTTAATGATCATTAAAGTGATTAAATAATCACATTCACCAATATTCTAAGTTTCATCTAATTCAAAATTATTATTATTTTTTTATGAAGAAATAAATTAGAATTGAATCAAAAGAATAAATATATAATTTTTAAAAATATACTATAAAAATTATTTATGTTATATTCATCTGTATTATAAACAAAGTTTTAAATGATGTAATGAAGATCGAGGTAGTCCATAAAACTTAAGATTGGGATTTGAAACTTGTCAACAGCCTTTTCATGATACATTTACGTTCACTCAAAAATTAAAATCAACACAAATCGAAGCACTGAATCCTCGGATGAGGCCATGGATAGCCGAAACTCACACCACATGATTGTCACATGTCCCTTTTGTCACTTACCAAATCTTCTTCCATTAAACTACTTACACGTATCTTAAACACAAAGAAATTTATTTCTTGACCATATTTTGAAATAAAAAAGTTTATCTCATTTCGTACAATTCTTATACATATTATTGTAATCATACTTAGAGTTTTTTTTTAATGTTTTATAGAATTGTCCTTTTATTATACTTCAAAATTATTTATTTCATTTCTAAATTCAGTTTACTTTTATATACATTTTTTTATTATAAATTTCTTATTTGGTATAAACAATTTACTTGCTTGTGAGTTGTACGGGTTCTTAAACGAATTTAGTTGATAGGGTGAGGATCGCTACTATACATCTCTTGTATCGATGTTAAAATACTTTCCATAAATTTGACGGTGCAAATATATGGTAGTTTCCCAAGTATTTTCTTCATAAATACAAATGGCCAATGCCAGGATCTAGGGTAATTTGTGCCTGCAAGAAGATGCAAACCATCTACCCTAACTGAGAGAAAGAAGAAGAATATATGCAAATATACGTTTGTAAAGTTCATCATCAAAGGTTATTTATGCTTGCAAGGATACTAAAATCTTTTGTTGAGACTACAACAATTGACAACATGAAACTCCCAAATGGCCATAGAAAATGTCTACAGTAGCCGACAAGTGCGAGGCCATTACAGTTTTAACTGCTCTAATGAAGTTTATCACAAAATCACACAAGAAAACCTGAAATTTAATGTCCACCGGAAATAATCCTTGCGGTGGCAAGTGTTTCAATGTAATTCATTCAACAAAGTTAAACAAGTAAAAGAAAATCATGAGGCTAAATGGCTCATATTGTTGTCAACTGCATATCAGCCTGCAAGCATCGGAATCAGATCCTTGAAACTGCCAGTGCTTCATACCAATTCATTCAACAAAATTACTCTAATAAACTCTAAAGTTAAGAGACTAAACCACAATGTCTGCTCCATTGCATACACGGTACACAATGGACAATGTTTTGTGAATAATAAAATGAGACAATAAAACGTTGTCTTCTTTAGTTTTGATGTGTTTTTTATATACATGTATACCAAAGAAATACGATGTTAAAGATGCAAATAATTATATATAGTATCACATTCAGATTCAGTTTTTTTGTTCAAATAATAGAACTAGCACATAACTACCAACCAATACCACAAACATCAGACCCATGAAATGTAAGTGTTTCATTTCATTAAAGTTATTCACAAAGTTACACAAGTAAACCTGCAAGTTGAGGCTAATTTAACTTTTAATACGTCCACTGCAAATAATCTTTGCAATGTCTAGTATTTCAATGCAATCCAGGCAACAAAATTACACAAGTAACCTAAAACTTAAGACTAAATGGATCATGCACGATACTGTCAACAAAATCATTAGTATCATATCCTTGCCCGCTTTTTATTGTCAACAAATTTACAATTTACAATAACAAACTTGAAAGTTAAGAGATTAACCCACTATGTCCCCTCCATGCCCACATGGCAAATAACTCTCCCACACTATAAGCATCAGATCCTAACAACATTAAATGCTTCGTTGAATTTATCCACACTTATACTACTAAACCTGAAAGTTGAGCCTAATCCATCATGCAAAAAACATAAAAATTACATAGCCTTGGATATTTATTAATAATTAAATTATGGGTAAATACAATTTACAGATGGAAACCAAAAAGGTCGACTTAAAGGCAATTTTGTATATAACAACCTTCAAAACTTACAAGGTATGTGATTCAGTTTCAGGAGAGCTAACTACTAAATTAGCATCAGGATCACCATTAGGGTCACCATTAGGGTCACCATTAGGGTCACCATCAGGCTCACCATCAGGCTCCCAATCAGGATCCCCATCAGGATCATCATCATCTTCATACATATTAAAACCCCTACTCACTTCAACTTCAATTTGGTCTATTTCATCATCCCTCATAAATTGCCTTAGTTCCTCCCTAACAATCCCCAACTGATCCTCCAACTCGCACTTCTGAGTCTCGTGCTGCGTGATGGACCACTGCAACGACTCAATAACCTCCTGATCATAATCCAGCTTCTGCTCCGCCATCCGCCGGAACTGCGTGGCCTGAATCTCCGCCGCGCTCTTCTCGTTCTGCAGCCGCAGGATCATCGCCATGGCCTCCTCCGCCGACGAGGCGGCGGCGGTCCGCTCCTTCTCGAGGTCCTGACACGCGGCATTGGCCTTCTGCCGCTCAATCTCCACGAATTTTCTCAGCGTCGTTACGTCGAGCACCTCGTCCTCATTGCAAACCTCTCTCTCGTTCCCCCCCTTTCCCTCCGACCCATCTTCGGCAGCCGCGTTGGGTTTCTCCCCGGCGCCATTGGGGCGGCTCCGGAAGGAGGATTTGGAGCCGCGGCGGCGCATTTTCTTCAAAGGCTTGGCCTTTGGCTCGGAGACTCTCTGAACGACATTGTCGAGGCAGAAACGGATTCTGGGGACGCCTCCGGCGTCACAGAGGAAGCGAATGACGCCCTTGAAACGCGAGATGAAGCAGAGAACCTTGATGCAGAAGGTGAGCATCATGAGGAGGCCGAGGAGGTTGAGGAGGCGCGAGAGGGAGCGGAGGAGGACGAAGCTGCATCCGAATTGGGTGAGAAAATCGAGTGCGGGAGGGAAATCCATGGGCAGCGGAAGAAGGAACCTCTGATGCAAGAGAGAGTCTGCATCTGAGGTTGGGAAAAGGGAAGGAACCAATCAGAGTTGGCGCTGGTGATGGTGAAGGTGTTGTTGCAATGCGACGGTGCAAGTGGTGGCGGAGAAATAGAGAAGGGGTGTCGTCATTTGGACCATTTCAGAGATTCTCTTTCGGTGGTTACATTACATGCATTCATTGCACACCAGTATTTCTCATCCTCTTCTTACCATAATCAACTTTTTTTACCTACAACATGTCAACCTTATAATTTCCCCCCCACACTACATCTCTAAATTCATTATCATTATATATATATATCCATTATTAATTACTATTACTATACCCTATTATTAATTGCACTATAATATTAAATAAATAAAATTAATTTTCTAAGCTATATTAAATGTTAATTTAATATTCTAAAACTGTATGATAATATAAGAAGATAACAAATAAATTATATTTTAACTAATATTTCGTAATTGTGTCATTTTAATTTATTAAAGTGTATATTTAATTATATATGTAAAGTTATTTATTTATAATAAATTTTAATATATAAAATAAATAATTATCCTGTAGAATGTGAAAATTAAAAAAAAAAACAATTATGAATTTTGTCATAACAATTAAAAATAAAAAGGCTAAAAAAAAATTACAAAAACTAAAATAAGACATGGATATATTTGTGAGACTTAAATCATATTTAAGTCTATTAGAAAATAAAATTTAAATATAAAGTATGATTGCTTAAAAAAATTAATATTATTTTAAGCTTTAAAATCGATAAATAAATATTAATAAGATTTAATTTAAAAAATCAACGATTAAAAAAGAATGAAAAAGCAGTATTAAATAATAATAATAAGTACTGTATTTATTAAATACATGAATTTTATATTAAAGACATTATTACAAAATTAACGATTAATATAAATTTTAATAACAAAATATATACTAAAAATATATTTAAAAACAAAAATAAAATGTGTATTAATATATATTTAAAATTATAAGTAAAGATGTATATACTTATATAACTTAAATAGTCCTTTAAGTATTAAAAGTGATTAGCTTAAGTGGTTGTTTAGAAGTATTTTTTATATCTTTGAATGTAATGCATGTATCAGGTGACAAAGGGGATTCTAACTAGAAACAAGATGACATCCTAATACCATTAGTGATGAGAGACTAACACTAGCTGTTTCCAAATTTAGGATGAAAATAATTTTAAAAAAATAGAATACCCTAAATTTAATGGATAAAAAATATATACAAGTAAAACAAATTAAAAGGGAACAGTATTTATTTTTTAATTAATAATTCCACATCTTTGAAATTTTTTAAATAAAAATTCTATTTCCATTTATTTCATCGTTAACTTCACTTTTAATTTAATATAAATATATTTCTTTTTTTAAGGTTATTCTTGATATACATAAAAACACGGTAATTTATGATGAAAGGTAATTTTTTTTTTTTTTGGTAATTATCAACTTAAAAATAAAAGTTAATATTGTGATTAAAAGCGACAAATTATAAATGGGCCTGTATGACACACTCGGCCCTCTACGCGGCCCAACTCATGGTATTTATAAGGCTCATGATAAACACACCTCCACTCACCTATAAACACACCTCCTTTTAAAAAAAAAATATATAAAATATCTAAATTATCCTTAAAAAAAAAAATTCTTAAATTTACACCCCCTTTTCCGCACCCCCTTCCCCTCACCCCCTTCCCCTAACCCCACACCCTCTTTCTCCGCACCCCCACATTCATAAATATTAATCACAATTTCAAATTAGACCATCAATTTTTTTTTATTATAACAATGGCTAAGGATAACAATGGCTCTGGACGCGCTTCTGGCGAAAACGGGAATTGAGGCGAAGGACATTGATATTCTGGTGGTGAATTGCAGTTTGTTCAACCCTACCCTTTCTCTTTCGGCGATGATTGTGAAGCACTACAAGCTGAGGAGCAACATCAAGAGCTTCAACCTTGGGGGATGGGATGCAGCGCGGGGTTAATCTCGATTGACTTGGCGAAAGACCTTCTGAAAGCAAATCCTAACTCGTACGCGGTGGTGGTGAGCACGGTGAACATAACGCTGAATTGGTACATGGGGAAGGAGCGGTTGATGCTTCTGTGCAACTGCATTTTCCACATGGGAGGGACAACGGTGCTCTTATCGAACAAGGGGGTGGGGTGTAAATTTAGGAATTTCATTTTTTTTAAGGGTAATTTAGATATTTTATATTTTTTTTTTAAAAAGAGAGTGTGTTTATACGAGAGTGGAGATGTGTTTATCATCTGCCTATTTATAATAGGACTCACGCGTCGTGGCTGCCCAAAAGTCACACAAGCCTTGAGTTCGCTTTGGGTTCATGATATATACAGTACACATTCTTTTAAAAAAATAAAATTTTAAAATATTCTTAATTTTTTTATTTTATTTTTTAATTTTACATCCATAATATTTAATTTAGTATTTTTTTTACACATTTTCCCTCTTTTTTCTAATTTTTATATGCACATTCTTATCTTTCCTTCATCCACCTATTTTAGTAGTATATGAAAACAAAAAAAAAAAAGTGTGTGAAAAAGAAGAAAAAAATAGCAAATTGAAAATTAGAAATGTAGAATTAGAAAATTTTTAAAAATATAATATTTTATAATTTTTTTAAAAAAAATAAAGGAGGTATACTATAAAAAAAAAGGTGCATATATCACGAGCCTTCGCTTTGTGCTTGTGGGTGGTTGTTTACTTGGTTTCATTCCATGTTACTGAGAGTGAAAGAAATTAAAAAAAAAATAAAAATTAAGATCTGGTTCACGGTTAGCTCATTTGAATTTGTCTTTGTTTTTTGTTTTATTTTATTTTATTTTATTTATATTTTAGGTCCGTTATCTCTTTCTCTCTCTGTGTTTCAATGTTATATTATTTGAGTTTCTTATCTAATTAATAGTTTGTTACAGCTTTAATTGTTTTTTTTTCTATAATAAAGAGAGATAATATAGACAAAAGGTTGGTGAAGGATATTACAACATTCCTCTCTATAAAATTCTTAATTCTCTCCTTCAATTAAGAGAAAATTGTTATGAATAATAATTAGTGGCTTAATTAGTAGATGCCAATATTTATTATCAATTGTACTGGCCAGCCGAGTTGCCGACTTGTCCCTCACCAATCTGTTGACTCGGTCAAAGGTTTACCAGCCTGACCAAGCAGTAAACTCATTATTTTCGAGTTCCTCAACTCGGCCATGACACATGGCATCACGAGAGAGAAGCGTACGCCAAGAGTCACGAACCTTTACCAAGCTCAGTATTAACTCCTCGACCCACGGTCTTCAGAGCTCGGGGGGCTAGTGTACTATTCGTACCGCGAAGCCGAGCTCTAGCTCGACATCACAGCGCAGAACGACCTCGGTTACGCGCTGGGTGACCTCGGCCAAGGCGAGGTCCGCTATCTAATTAGGTTATAACTGATCTCAGGCCCAAGGCCCAACGAAACCCTAATTCACACAAAGGTACGTGCATTATTTATACGAGACTCGTACTCATACAAATCCTAACTTTAGCATCAGAGTCTCTTTTGCAAGTACCACCCCCATCTTGGAACACCAGCGTACCAGTAAAGGAGGCTCACCGATCTTACCCAGCGGATCAGCTCTACAGCAGATTTTCGGTAAGAACATTTGGCGCCCACCGTGGGGCCGATCAGACCAAGCTCTTATCGGCTAACCACACAGG